TTTTTAGAAAAAATTTGAAAATACCATGAACCGATCATATTACGAACGAAATGGTGTTACACAGATTGGAAAAAAACAGAGAACTTTTGACCACCATTAAAAGGAGAAAGGCAGCATATTTTGGTGTTGCAGCTGATTATGAAGGGTAAAATCGAAGGAAAAAAGGTCCTGGTAGACGACAAATATCCTGGCTGAGAAAAATTCGCGACCCGACAGAACACACAGACGCTTTTAAAAAAAAAGTATAAGATAAAGACGAATTTGCCATGGTTATAACCAACTTTCATTAGTGGAGTCGGCACTATAAGGACTCTTGTAAGTGGGTTTATAAGGCGAGAATAAATGCAGTAGTATTTACTAGGGTTTATCGGCTTTATCGCCGTATCCTAAAAATACCATGGACAGCGAAAATCACAAATATAGATGTCCTTAAAAGAATAAACCAAGAACGCCAACTTTTCGAAACCATCAAGAAAAGGAAAACGGCGTATCTAGGTCACATCATGCGAAATGAAAAATACCAGTTCCTCCAACTTATAATCGAGGGTAAAATTGAAGGCAAGAGAGGAATGGGACGCAAGAAAATGTCCTGGCTCCGAAACATAAGGCAATGGACAGGGATTAACGACATACAATCTCTGATACATATTGCAAGAAATAGAGAATTAATGGAAAATGTGATCGCTAACATCCATTAGTGGATTTGCATCTGAAGAAGAAGAAGAATTTACTAGGGTATGAAGGTGAGGAGACGTGTTGAGTGACATTCGATAAACTTTGAAAACAATTTCGACCGTCTTGCTTCTTTTGACACACCCTATATAATAAGCAAAAACTAATTCGTGCCCTATTCATTTAGTTCAAGGTCAAAATATGTACAAACAATTCAAGGCCAGATATTAAGATATGTAAAAAATATTTGTTGGCGTAAAAATTAAAAAAATAAACATCTAGCTATTTTATTAATTAAGCAACCCAGTAACTATCCTGAAATCAACAGACCACATTGCCGTTCGTGCGAAATTTAAATCTGATTGCATACAATTCATATATACTATAATAAGTATGATTAGTAGTTGTGTTATTATACTCAATCATTAAGTCGTTAACAACAGTGTTAACCACTACACCTTGCACGATATATCCGAAACAAAATAAAATCTATTTTGTAATAGGTAAAAGTCTAGTTAGAAACTGGAATCTAGTAGATAAAAACAAACTAGGGCAATATAAAGAGATATACAATGACCTATTAAAAGAACAACTTACCAAAAAATTAGACAGTGATGATAAAGATATAGACGAAATAGACAACATGCTTACAGCAACGATGATTATATCAGGAAAAGAAATAGCAAAAAAGGATCTAAAAAAGAACAACTATATATCAACAGAAACAAAGAAGCTTATGGATAAAAGAAGGAAGCTGAACGAAGGAGGCAAAAGGAAATCTATAGAATATGTAGGAATCAATAAAACAATAAACATAATGAAAAAAGAAAATAAGAGAAAAGAACAATAAATAAAAATATAAGAAGTAATACAGAACAACAAAAATATGAAATGCTTAAGGCCGAAATTAGGTAAGTAAGAAATAAACAAAATAAAAGATGTAAATGGAGTAGAAACAAACGTTAAAGATGACATCATAAATATAATCCACCATTTCTACTCAGAATTATATAAAACAAAAAAGGAACCACCAGAAGAAATTAAAAACCAACTTAAGGCTAAAGAATTATCCTCACTGGATGACTGAAGGTCATATTCAACACCATCAGAAAATCAATGTAGGGTAGGAAAAATGTCATAATAATTATTAGTCCATATTCTTTTGAAGAAAATCTTACAGTTTTTAAATCAGTGTTTTCCTGAGAGGTAAATTGGTAGATGATGACCAATTGAGTGGCCCCCAAGATCTCCAGATCGTATACTTTTACATTCTTTCTATGGAGTTATTTAAAATCAAAAGTTTATATAGCTAAACCACAAAATCTATAGGAGTTGTAAAACCACATTAAAGACGAAGTTAATTAAGTGATTACTAGATTCGAAGCAGTAAAGCAAACAATATTTCACTATTTATTGGATACTAATAAGAATCTTGATAGCCAACGACCATTACAATGCAATAACTAACAATACAATAAGTAACATCAAGTAAACTCTACCGTGTTATTCTATAGTTACAATCGGACATGATATATGACAGTTTTAAAATCAAGCTGGAATTGTGGTATTTTGACACCTCCTCTCAATTCCGCCAAAATAACTTAAAACTAATTATTAAACAATAGTATCAGATAAATATCATCTACTACAGTAAAAGTAATTGTAATTATGGTATACCTGTACTTTTTCATTTTCAAATATTTCATGATAAATGCAGTTTCAAGAAAAACTTCCTGAAACTGCATTTATCAAATGGTTTGTGGCACCAGAGTCTATTATATAGTCAATGATTTTGCTTACACTATTATCAATTATTGTTTCATTTCTGTCAAAATTCCGATTGACAATTCTGACATTTGATGGACATTCCCCATCCACCTCAACAAACTCCTTTATTTTGTCACACAAAACTGTATTAGCATGCGGCGATTCAAATTAATTTAGTTTAGTAAGAAATGAAATTTCTTCTTCAACTTGATTTGGACCGACACTTGCACTATTAACAGACCGACGTTCCATGCACTCATTTCTTTTATGTCCAATTTACCGCACTTGTAGCATTTAAACCAAAAATTGCCCTGTCCTGGTCCCACTACTGGATATTGTCTATTGTTTATTTGGCTGTCGTCTATTTCCATCATTCCATCGTCCTTCTCTACTAGGATTTCCAGGACCATGTGTGACCTATTGGGAATTATGTTGACGTCCATAATGATATAGATTCCTATTAGCAAAGAAAACTACTGTGGATTCTTCATTATTTTTATGAGAATTTCCTTGACGTTATTATTTCTGTAAAAGTTTATTTTTCACCATATTAAAATCAATTCTACTTGGATCTTGACTGAAAATAATGTCAATTGCTGTGACTGTTGCTTGATATGACTTCAGCATAGCTATTCTTCATTTATCACTGTGTTTTAAAAAATCATTATAAAATATGTTAAGTTTCTACTATCATACCTCATATTTCTTAATCTACGTTGATTTTCAATTTGAACAGGCAAAACTTTTTGCAAATAGAGGGGGTTGCCTAAGCCCGGGCTCCACTTTGTTTTTGAATTTTAAAAAATTTAAGTTTGGAAAAAAATAAAATATTTTTCAATATATATCTTACTATATTTTACATAAGTGTTATATTTACATTTTAGTTATATTTTAAGTTTTGTAGTCGTGAAATTTTTTTCTTGAACATTGCATTTTTGTGTGTTTGAGAAATGTTTCCTAATGTGGGCTCCTAAAAAAATGTTAGAGAAAATTTTAAGAAAAACTTAAAGATAAAACACTAATAATTTAAATAAACAAAATTGTAATTTTACATTGAAAATATAATAATTGACAGTCAAGTACGACAATAATCGCATATATAGTCGTCTTCTTCTGCGCCTGCACATTCAAGATGATGCACTCCATCGACATCCTAAGGGCCTTCTTCTGTGGGGCTTCCTCCCATATTAACTTGACAAAGCGGTTATTAGGGAGTTTATGGACATAGCCAGCCCATCTTAGACGTTGGGATTTAATCTCTTAGACTATGTCGCTCGCTCTATACATCTGCTTGACCTCAGCATTTGTTCTCATTCGGTATTGGTTGCTATTAATGCCGTGATAAGGGCCAAAGATTCTTCTGAGAATTTTCCTCTCAAAACATCTAAGTTCTCTTTCAGTTTCTTTGATCAGGTCCACGTCTTACACCCATACATGAGCACCGGTCTAATCACCGTTTTATATATTCTAGTCTTTGTTGTTTGTGTTAAGCTTTTAGATTTAATAGTATTGTATTTAATAGGTTGTACATACATCTGTTTACTGCCTGAATTCTTCCTTTAATATCTTCCGCGATATCGTTATCTGCAGTAATTGTTGCTCCGAGATATTTAAAACTCTCCACTTTTTCAAAGTTATATTGGTCTATTGTAACATTTTGCCCTATTTTATCTCCTCTCTTTTGTCTGTTGATGCACGTGTATTTGGTTTTCTCTTCGTTTACCCTTAAACCAATTTTCTTTACCTCTACCTCCAATTTATTAAAAGTCTCCTTCACATTGGTGACTGCGTTTCCCACAATGTCAATGTCATCTCCCTATGCTAGTAGTAATTTTGGTCCATTTACTGTCAGTAATTCTGTTTTAAGTTGTGCTGCTCTTACTGTTTTCTCCAGGATGATATTAAAAAGGAGAGGTGACAGCGCATCTCCTTGTTGCAGGCCACTGTTTATTTCGAAAGATTCTGAGAGTTTGTTACCTATCCGTACTCTGGATCTACAGCTATTCACACATAACTTAACAAGCTGGATAAGTTTTTTGGAAACTGAAAGTTCGGCCATTGTATTCCACATCTGATCCCTTTTAATGTTGTCGTACGCTTGCCTGAAATCTATGAAGAGATTATGGAGAGCTCTATTGAATTCTCACCCTTTTTCAAGCAGCTGTCTTAGAGTAAAGATCGGATCTACGGTCGATCTATGTTTTCTGAAACCGGCTTGGTATTCCCATGAAATTTTCTACAAACGCTGTCAGCCTACTTAATAGGATGTTCGATAAGATTTTATATGCCGTATTAAGTAAGGAGATGCCTCTATAATAAGAGCACTTGGTCGTTTGGAATCGACGTTAAACTGTAGTTCACGTAAATCTTTGTACGATTAATGATACATAACAGATATGAAAAAACGATCTACAGTAAAAATTTAGTATCATACATTTAAATTTTGATAAAAACTTATTATTTACATTTACTAAATTATATTTTTATATATTTTTTTTTATTTTTAGAAGAAAAATTAACATAAGGCGATGAATTACACTTACAATTTTATTCTGTTACAGGTCAGCTGCTGTTTTTCTACTCAATATTCTACATTGTCTTAGCTGCCTTATTTGCTATATGTATGCAAGGTTTATTTGCTACCTTAGACGACAGAGTGCCTAAATGGAGATTAGATCGAAGCCTTATAGGAGTTAATCCCGGCCTAGGATTTCGGCCTATTTCCAATGTAACTGAGGAAGGGTCCCTTATTTGGTATAATATCACAAACCATACTACAATAAATAAATGGGTGGGCTTGATAGATACATTTTTATTACGTAAGTATTTTTTTATGCCGTTCATTTTATACCTTAATAATAACTAAGTAGTTTTAAAATCTGATTTTATACATAATTAATCAGTTTTTTCCAATTTTTCCTATTATTTCAGTTTCTAATTGGAGAAGACCAAGCAGGGTTCACAGTAGGAAAAGCATGCCTAGATCATACGTACACATTAAAACAACTGATAGAGAAGAAAATGGCAAAAGGTAGACCGGTCCATCTGGCGTCTATTGATCTAAAGAAAGCATACGACTCAATACCTAGAGTCAAATTATGGGAAGCAATGAAGGATCTCGGAATCCGACAAACACTAATAAAAGCAGTTAAAGCACTGTACAAAGAAAACAAAGTAGCTATTAAATGTGGAAATAAAGCCTACAATCCATTTAAGACGACAAAAGGACTTCTACAAGGCTGTGCTAAGTCCCCTACTCTATTTAAAATATTCTTGGAAAATACACTCAAACCATGGAGGAGAAAGTGCGAAGGAATGGGCATACCAGTAAGAGACGAATACCTATACACCTTAAGTTTTGCCGACGATCAAGTAGTCATCGCACAAGATGAAGAAGATCTCAGCTTTATGCTCAGAGAACTAGAAGAGGAATATAAAAACAACGGAATGGAAATAAACTTAGAGAAAACCGAATACCTAACAACAGAAAACAAGGATATGAGAAACCTAGAGATAGACGAGGGAAAACAAGTAAGTGGAACAGATAAATTCAAGTATTTAGGAACCATAATATCGAACCAGGGAACAACAGAAGAAGATATAAACAACAGTCTAAGACAAACAAGAAACTGTATAAGGCAACTAAATTCAGTGCTGTGGGGTAAGAACATTACGATAAAGACAAAAAAGAGAATATATAATACCCTGACAAGAAGTATCCTGACATATGGGTACGAAAACTGGACAATAAACAAGAGAAATAGAGGTAGAATAAGAGCAGTAGAAATGGAGTTCCTGAGGAGAAGCTGTAGACTTACAAAAAGAGGCAGAGAATAAGCCACAATTAAAGATAAAAATACGTTTATTGATGTTTCAATTTCCACTTCGGAAATCGTTCTCAAAATACAAACGTATTTTGAGAACGATTTCCGAAGTGGAAATTGAAACGTCAATAAACGTATTTTTATCTTTAATTGTGGCTTATTCCCAGTTTAATAGTAATTAATTTACAATGCCACAAGAAAATAGCTTCAGAACAATAAAAAGAGACAGAATTGAAAACGCAGAGATTAAGCGGAGAATGGGAGTGCAATCAGACATAATCGACTATATAGAGGAGAAAAGACTATCCTGGTACGGCCACGTCAGAAGAGCTGACAGAGGACGCTGGATAAACAAAATCACAGAATGGAGCCCGATCGGAAGAAGAAAGAGAGGAAGACCCCGAAGGTCATTCAGAGACGAAATCGACGAGGCTATGGAGAAAAGAACCCTGCGAGATGGAGACTGGAATGACAGGGAAAATTGGAGAAAACGGTTGAGTGAAGGAAGACAGTGAAAACTGTGGAAATCCTTAGTAGTAGTAGTAATCATTTTTTTATATTCGGTAGCCGAGATATTCAGTTTATTTGTACTCAGTTCGTAATCAATATAAAGCCGGGTACACTTCTTTTTCTTCTTCTTCTTCAGCCTTAAGTATTATATTTTGCGCCGCTTGATTCCAGTTGTGTCCTCCGATCTTCTTAATGTCATAAGCCCATCTCATTTGTGGTCTTCCTCTACTTCTCTTTCCTAACCATGGCCTCCAGTGTTGTATTTTGTAGTTCCATCTCTTATCCTTCAGTCGGGCATTGTGTCCTGTGAAGCTCCATTTTAATTTGGCAGCATGTTCTCCTGCGTTTTTTACTTTAGTTTTGCTTCTATCCATTTGTTTGTTTTTTTGGCTATAAGTCCCACCCCGAGCATTGATCTTTCCATCGCTCTTTGTGCTTTTACTATTTTATCCATATTGGACCATTTAGGCCAGTAAATTGGAAAAGTAGCTGACATGCCAGTTGCTGGCATGGGCCAGTAACTGGCATACCAGTAGCTCGTCTGCCCATACTGGCAAGGTAAAAAGCATGGTAAATTTTTACACATGCCAATGCTACAAAACAAGTACTTGTTTTGTAATTAATAAGGTATTCGGAACGAATTAAACAAGCAAATATTGCTGATGACCACGGATATTGTTCGAAATTTAATAATGAATCCGAAGCCGAAGTAAAAATGTGAAAAATTTTGGATTTAGGTATGTACCTAAGCATTGTCACGGGCTATTTTATTTTTATATAAAGATGATTTAGAATTCCAAAAGACAATCCAATTCTCTATATATAGCAATAAATTTGATGCTTTTTTCACTATTCCAACGAAACAACAAATCTGATAATTCTCAGCTAGCTACAGGCATGCTCGTAGCGATAGCACGTGTTGCCAATGACACTCCCCACGCATGCGCAATGCATCTTACAGCATGCTTCTAGCAAGAAAAATCAAATTCTAGCCGGGTATACACATGCCAGTAAATTGGCAAAGTAGCTGGCACGCCACTTGCTGGCATATGCCATTAACTGACAAGCACAAAACACATTTGCTAGTAATTGGTATGCCAGTAGCTCGCTGGCCTATACTTTCTCTTCTTTGAGTATCGTGCCCAAGTTTTAGGCGTGGCTAGCTTCCATAATCCATAATCATACCTCTTAATAAGAAAGGTTCAACAAATAATTGTAACAACTACAGGCTATTAGCTCTAATATCACACGCCAGTAAGGTGATCCTCTACATACTGCAACGGCGTCTAGAAAACTTCATAAGTTGGCAAATAGCACCTGAGCAGGCTGGATTTGTAAAGGGCAGAGGTACTAGAGAACAAATCCTTAATGTACGAAACATCATAGAAAAAGCCAGAGAATACCAGATCCCGATATTTATATGTTTCGTCGATTATACAAAGGCCTTTGATAATGTTAGATGGGACAAACTATGGAACATATTGACGACAATGGGTGTACCTAAACACTTGACTCACCTTATTAGCAAACTGTATTAAGATAACCTGGCATATATTCGAATGGACGGATATCTGTCTGACAAATGCACTTTGGAGAAGGGAGTACGCCAAGAATGCGTTTTATCTCCCTTATTATTTAACATCTATTCGGAGTTCATAATGCGCAGAGTGTTGGATGGTTGGGAGGGAGGAGTAAACCTAGGTGGTGTTAAGATATCTAACTTGCGTTTCGCAGACGACACTACACTTCTAGCCTCTACTCCAGAAGAAATTATTAAATTATTAAAAAAACTCGAGGTAGAAAGTGCTAAATATGGACTCATGGTTAACTACAACAAAACCAAAATCATGGTTATTGATCGCCAACAACAGTTTCCTGAAACCCAAACTATTGCGGGATTCGAGGTAGTCTCATCTATGATATATCTTGGAGCTCTAGTTAACAACACAGGCAGTTGTGAATCCGAAATTAGAAGACGCATTCAACTAGCAAGAGCAGCAATGAGTGAACTAAACGGGGTCTGGCGTGATCGTCACATTACTATGACAAACAAAAAGAGACTCGTTTCAACTCTGGTCTTTTCCATATTTTACTATGCATGCGAGACATGGACAGTCAAAGAATCAGATCGACGACGTATAGACGCCTTTGAAATGTGGACATGGAGACGCCTGCTTTGAATTCCATGGACGGCTCGCCGTACAAATATCTCGGTTCTGGATGAAATTAAACCGGATCAGATAAAGTTCTTTGGCCATATCCATCGAAGTGATCATAAAATGGAGCGGTTGGTGGTCCAAGGAAGGCCTCAGACTCAACCCCAACGCAGAAGATCTCCACAGCGATGGGCGGACATTACTAAAAAGCTTCTCAATAAACAGTATACTGAGGCAATACATATAACTGATGACCGCGACCAGTGGAGAAATATTATCAATCAAACTGTCCGAGCTGCTGAAGCCCAATTATGAACCACAACACATCTGCTAAGATGTTAATGACTGTGATGATGATGAGCTTCCATAACGATTTGCTGATATCGTTCTCGACCTTGCGCGGCATGAAATAATTCATCTGCTGATACGCCAGTCCATTGACGAAGGTTTCGGAGCCATGAGTATTTCTTTCTACCAATTTCTCTTCTTCCGTCGATCTTTCCGTTGAGTATCAACTGCATTATCCTGTATCTGCTTCCTCTCATTATATACCCCAGATATTAAAGTTTTCTCTTTTTTATCATCTTTATTAAGTCACCTTCACCTTGACCTACTCTGTTCAAGACTTCTCTGTTTGAAATGTATTGAACCCATGATATTCTGAGCATTCTACGATATAACCACATCTTGAAGGCTTCTAGTTTGTTCATCATGTTAACCTTCATAATCCAGGTTTTACATCCATACAGTAATACAGGATACACATAATATTTAAGAACTTAATTCTCAGCTGTAAACTTCTCAAACTGGAGCAGTTTTCTTTGAGGAATCGACATTTGCATAGCACTTGATAGGGTTTGACAATAAACATCACGTTTGCGCCGTAAAATCAAGTGAATCTGGTATCAAATCTCTCGAGAGACTATTTTATAGTACGCTTGATTCAGTAATATTATAGATGCTGCCTTATGCCATGTAGTGTTTCTCTATAACTCCTAAAAAACAACTTCTGCTCATGATGCCACACTGAAGATTTCATTCTACCCTATCACCACTATTTTGAGAATTATACTCTATTAAACTAGGTCAATATTTGAACTTCGCTATTTATTCACTTATGACTAATAAATTATAGATACTCACCTCCGCTACTTGGACGTGACACGACGCTATTTTTACGCGTCATATTGGAATTACCCATGCGGACAAAAGAAAAGATGTCTCTGTACCCCATGAGCTGGGTTAATCAGTATGTGCGATGTCAAATTCAACGGTGATTCAGTATCCTATTTATTATAATTATTTAGGCCAAACTAATAATTAGCTTTTCTAAAGAACGCATTTCACGAGCTCTTACCAAATCCTACATTCCATGCTGGACTGAAGAATGTAAAGACATGTATGATCAATACGAGCAAACCAGAGATCCAGACGTAGATGAACAACTTCTAGAGTCTTGGAATTCTACAAGAACCATCAGGTGGAGAGAAACTCTTGAAAACCTTTACTTCACACATAGAAGGCGCACTGTCGGGAACCTACTCAGAAAACTGGAAACAGACCCTAACTTTAAATCACCAAACTCAGAAGATATAGCGAAACGCATTGTCCAGCTCTCCAAAAAAGCCATAGAAAAAGTTCATAAAAGAGAAGTTCGAAATCCGCTTTAAAAGATCATCAAAACTGCACATCAGCAAAGCCTGCCAATAATGAGGCAAATAGAGATAGACTTTGCAACGCACTAGACTAAATTAAGTGCCGCAAAGAGGCAGGATTTGACCAAATATTTCCTGAGTTCATGAATCATGCTGGTCCGAAAACTCAAAAATGGCTCCTAGATTTTTTCAACCAGATAACGACGACGCAAAAGCTCCCTAAACTATTTAAACAAAGCAAAGTCATCGCAATCTGAAAACCATGAAAAGACTACAGACCCTTACTACAGTTGAGTTATAGACCAATCACCCTTTTATGTGTCTACTATAAGATTTTAGAGAGCATAATCTATGCAAGGCTCTTACAAACTGTTATCGGAAAAATTCTCGTAGAACAAGCTGGAGAAGGAACTGCAGTGATCAAGTTACTTCTCTAAGAACATTTATTGAAAATGGCTTCCAAAAGAAAATAAAAACGACAGTAGCTTTTATTGATCTGCCTTGCACTTACGACACGGTATGGAAAATAGGCCTACTACTTAAATTGTACCACATGGTACCACGAAAATCATTTAATAATCTAGTAAATCAATTTCAAATTAGTTTTATGGAAAAACTAGTTAGTTCAAAAGTTTACAGAATGACTTACCTTAAGGGTCGGTTCTATTGCCGCTCTTGTTTAACATTTACACACCAGACACTCAGACACCGTTACAATCTCATTTTTTTTTTCCTGTGTCTTAGGGATATTTTATTTTTATTCTGGAGTTACGAAAGACGTTGACATAGACAGTTAAACTGACTGGGTCATCTACTTCTTGTTTACATTTACTGTAAACTTCCTCCAGCGTGTAGTAAGGTAGCAAATATTTTTTAGTACTCTCTTTACGGCAGCAATGGCTCTCATATGCTGGAAGAGATGCAAGGTGCTGATAAACCAAAGCCATTTTATCTGTGGATATTTTATTTTCAGTGATGTGCTTGCCACGTTTATTTGGGGTGGTTGCTGAGGCATTAGAAGATTTTTTTTGTTGGACAATGGTCCATACAAATTTGACTGTCTCACCAAATTGTAAGAAAATATTTCTTACAGACTTCGATGTTTTGGCCATAAATCGAAATATTGTAGGGAACTAAAGATGCCTTTTTTTTTCTTTTCTTCATGCTTCTGGCATCGCCTCCTCTTACCTTGGTTCAGATTATCACCTGCAGTAAAAAGACCGCACAGATAGGCTGCCCTTCGGTCACGTGTCTTTAAATTTTGAAAATATTTTTTGATTTTCAAGTGGAATTTGTTTTTTCCTTGTATCTGTTGTTGTTAGGAAAGGTTTGTTTAAAAAAAATTTTTTTTTTTAATTGTAGATTCTAATTTAAGACATAATTACTTCCAAATTGCATTATATAGATGGTACTGCCCCTTAGTACAAACATTTGTTGAATAACATTTTTAGTGTCTCTTCGACGATTTTTCCTCCAAACTTTATCATTTCTATCGTAATTTGATTTTCTCTACAAACTTATTTTTATATAGCTGAGTGTTGCTTTTCTTTCATCATCGGTAATTTCAGGAATCTCTTCTATTCCAACATGTAAGATTCCTCTACTTTCAATCCTTCCCTCAGTTAAAGTGTAGTATATTGTCTATCTTCAAAAATCTCAGTCTATTTCTTCTTATCATTTCTTTTAACTCATGCATAGGTATTTGGCATGTTCCTGTAATTTAAAAGATTCATCTTGTTGGAGATCTTTCTATGTCTACTCTCGTAACATGTCAAAGTATTTTTATTGTGGGAAATTGACTTCTCTGGATAGCCGTTTGCTAACTTGTAGCTCATTGAGAATTGAATTATTTGTAATGTGGACGGTCCAATGTTCATTTATTGAGATGCCCTTTTCTTATCCTTTAAGCGCTCTTCTCATGATATGCTTCACATATATTAAATAATGATAGACATAGAGTTTGCGTTACAAACTCTATTTATTCAACTTATTGGCAGAATTCTCAGATTCACGAAAATTTCAAAGGCTTCGAGTTTTCTTAGAAGTGTTTCCTCTAAAGTCCAACCTTCGATACCATATAAAGAATAAAGAGCACATAAAATCTTACTAATCTAATTTTCAGTTTCAAAGTAATGTTGTTTCCATATAAGATTTTCTTCATCTTATTCTTCTCATCTAATTTCTTTGCTCATATCCCATTTCTCCTCTAAGTTACAACCAAGATAAGTGATAATGTTGGATCTCTTCAGTTGTTCTCCATAAGGTGTTACCACTTCTTGTTGTATTGGTGTTTTACTGACAACTATCACCTGTGTCTTTGTGATGTTTAGGTTCAGTCCATATTCATCACACGCTATGGAAATCCTATTGATCAGATGTTGAAGTTCTTCGTAACTATTTGCGATTAAAACCATTTCATCCGCGTACCTCAAATTATCAATATTGATGCTACTAATTGTAATGCCATATTGAACACTGTCCATATTGCCATAATAACACATTGCTTTCAACCATATCCTACAAAGACAGACGTTACTGCTTTCCATTTAAATAACCTCGAAGTAAACCATAGAGTAAACATAAAAAGAAAAGAAGTTATTCTAAAACATAATCCAAATCAAAAATATCTCAGTGTAATACTAGATCGTACTACATCTTTCCAGCTATACTTACATAAAACTGCAACTAAAGTAAAAACTCATAACAACATCATTCATAAGCTTGCAAACAGATCTTTGGGAGCCAATGCAGACACAATCAGGACAAGCGCTCTCGCATTCGTCTATTCTACGGTCAAATATTATGCTCCAGTCTGGCTAAATAGTCACTACACTAACTTTCTAGAAGCACAGTTAAATCAAACTATGAGATATATTACGGGAACCATAAAGAGTACGCCAACTCAATGGCTTCCGGTTTTTTGTTGTTTTGCACCACCCAAAACACAACGATTAGCTGCTCTTAAAGCTAAAGATGATCTTATTTCACAATTGATGAGCATTGGATAGGCGAAGGTGAAGATAATTTACAACGTATGCTGCACTAATTTAGTATAACCGCCAGAAAATTTAAGATGTTAATTTTTTCAAAAAGAAAAAAATGCATAGTTTTAACAGCGAATTTACTATAATGTAAATTGCAGCTGGAAGGTTAGATAATAGAACAAGTAATGGAGTTTAAATATCTAGGTATTACATTATCTAGCTACGAAAAGCTCAAATTTACAGCAAACAGAGCCGCAGGTAGGGCATACTATGGACTCCAAAAGCATTTCCACGCAAGAAACATTCAAAGAAGAACTAAAATTATTATATACAAAACATGGACTCTAACGCAGAAAGATGAAAGACTTTTGGGAATATTTGAGCGTAAAATACTCCGCAAAATATTTGGAGCTGTAAACGACCAAGGGCAGTGGCGCAGAAGATATAATTTTGAATTGTATCAGCTCTTTGATGAGCCAGATGTCATAACGTTCATTAAAACACAGCGACTTAGATGGGCTGGACACATAATACGAATGCCAAAAAATACCATTGCTAAAAAGCTAACCACAGGAACACCTGTAGGAAAAAGAAGCAAAGGCCGACCGCGAATTAGGTGGTTAGATGGAGTAGAAACCGACTTACGAATATTAAAAATCAGAAGATGGCAACATGTTGCCAAAAACCGAACAGAATGGCGACGAATGTTAGAGCAGGCCAAGATCCACAGAGGATTGTCGAGCCAAAGATGATGATGATGAGAGCCGCAGGTTGCCTGAATAAAACAATATGGAGAAATAAAAATATCGGGAAAGAAATGAAAGGCAGGATTTATAAGTCATCAAAGAAAGGTGTCCCGACTACTTGCTACTTCGTATAAATGCCGCTGCTAGTGTACTAGGCTGTTATTTTAATTATAATGGCCAAATATAAGACTGCATTTCATTTCAGTTTGAACTTACACAAGTGTTCCTGATTAAGAGTTGAATATCTCGAAACATGTGTAGAACAATGGTGGAATTCGAATTGAACTGAAGCAATCTTTTACTTTCATCTAATTTGCTATCAAAGAGAGGTCTCCCAACTTCTTGTTACTTCCTATAGATGCCCCTGCTAGCGCACCAGGATGTTATTAGTGTTTCTTTTTATTTTTATTGATTCACGTATCTCCCTCTTCTTTTTGTTTTGCTCGTTTTTTAAAATTGTGATGTTTTCGAAGTCAAATTTATGCTTCCTCTCATTCTCATGCTTTGTGAGCGCAGTTGTGTTGTTCTTGTCGTATTTGTGGAAACGAATTCTGGATTGAAGCAGTCGACGACTAGTTTGCCCAGTACATTTAACAAAAGCTATTTTTTAATGAATTTTATTAAAAATTATATACTTATATTTTAGCCTATAAAGCGAATCAAACCGGTAAGAATTTTGTTCCTTGTAATAAAGATAAACGTCCTGGATCAAAGGAAGTATGCGAAACGAGTATAACCAACTTTAAAAATTGTAGTCCTGGTCGGATGTACGGGTACAATACTTCTACGCCATGTGTGTTTCTTAAATTGAATAGAGTAAGTTTTTATCAAAAAGAAAAGTCATTGCTTTTTAACCAAAGTTTTCTAAATTTTAGATTTTCGGATGGGTTCCCGAATTTATAACCTCACCTCAAGAAGGAATGCCAAAAGATTTAGCCGATCACATCCAAATGGTAAGCTAGTTTATGAATGCAGTTTTATAAACAAATGTACAACGTTATTCGTCTTGTTTAATGTATGCACTTTCTCAGGGTTTTAATATAAAAATGCTACGTTTGAAACTTTGTTTTACGAAAGAAAATAAACTTACATAGTTCACTTAGCCGATGACAGCTACTAACTTATTTTCTATTTTATTTGTTTTTGGACATAAACTTCCACTACTAGTCTCTACCTCTGATTGAAACCTCATGATTGACACCTCATTGAGAGAGCGAAGGTAGGATCTTGGAATTCACTAATTGGGCCAAGCCGATTTTCTTGTGGCTGAATTTTATGGTTCAGTCCAGGACATCAAAATATAATTTGAAAAATTTGATTGTGTTAGCTCTAGCTAGGTAATATAAGTGCAAGAGCTGCATCTGAGGAACGTTTAGATTGGGAAACTGCAAAGTAAACCACTGTCAACATCAATGAACCATGTTCGAATAGTCAAATAACAGAGGTAGCGGCAATATTTCAAAAGTGGTTCAAAATGTATAAAGAAACACGAATATTGATCACGACTACTATACTGTCCAAATAAAACTAAATTTTAATAGTATTGGGTTTCAATTTGACGATTATTCTTCGCCTAATTCTGTCACTGCCGCAGCTTTTATCAATGAAACTTTTTTTCAGCGGTCAACAACAACATTTATCATTTTCATGTAAAGAAGCTCAAAATTTTGAAGAACTTAAAATGAAGTTTACCGAAGTTTTGATATTAATCGCAAATTGCATTGAAAAGCTTTAGAGATATATTTTATTATCTTTAGGACGAAAAGAGGATGATTTTAAACCATTATGTTAAGTCGATGTTGGAGTTTTAAATTTTCATATTAGAATTATTTTTTATTTGGCTTAAAATCTCATTTTTAAGCTTGAATGGAAATTTAAAATTAACAAAGGAAGAATTATTTGACAAAATAACAGATATTTCTGACAAAATGAATTGAAGTAGATAAGATGACATTTATTTGATGTATAATTGTATTTAATTTTATTTAATTTCAATTAATTTTATTTGATTTTATTTAATTTTACATAATTTGATATAATTTTATTTAATTTTATTCAATTCTGTTTAAGAGTATTTAATTATGTTTTGATATTAATTACGCCAATCACATTGAAAAACTTTAGATAATTATTTTATTACCTTTAGGATTAAGAAGATGATTTTAAACCATTATGTTAAGTTGATGTTAGAGTTTTAAATTCTCATATTAGAATTATTTTTTATTTGGCTTGAAATCTCATTTTTAAGCTTGAACTGAAATTAAAAATTATCAAAGGAAGACTTATATCAAAGATATCAAAGAATGGTAAAGACGCTTCAGACTCAACTTCCATCGTGAATTGAATACTGGGATGTATTCCATTCAGGGGGAAGAGGAAGAGATGTAATGCGTCTTTACCATGGGGTCAAATGGCAAAGGTGTCAGCAATGTACCGTAACCAGCAGATGGGTTTGAGATTTGATGAGGACAGGGCTGTTATTTCAAAATGTTCCATGTATGCTATGTAGATATCAGCTATTACGGGAATGAGAGCATCCCATTGAGGCACCATTGATTTGACGATGGAAATGATTTTCATGAAATCATGCGTGTTTTATAAAAGATAATGTGTCTTATGAGAATTGATGTTTAAAGTCCAAAATGGAAATGGTTTCATAGATAGGAATGTTGGTGAATAAAGAAACAATGTCAAAACTAACTAGTGTATCTGAGGGTAAAATAGAAATTTTTTTCAGCAGATCAATCATATGCAAAGAGTTTTTGACAAAGGACAAGGCGTTTTCGGCTAATGGTTGTAAGGATAAAGCAAGATGTTTTGCCAATTTCTGAGTGGGGCAGTTGCATTGACGATAGGTCTTAGGGGAATAGAGATTTTTTTTCAAAATGTCATTTTTACATGAATTAGCCCTTTTTTATTAATTAATTTTATTTCATTAATAAAAAAGAACAAGAGTTAGCCCTTTTTTTTTTCTCGATTTTACTATTTTAAAAACTAAATTTATAAATTCAAATTGATAAAAGTCGCAATATCTCTAATAAACGAAAAAGTTGAAAATTTTCAACTTATTCCACGGGAATAATCATCGAGATGTCCAAAACTGTACGGTCTACCAAAAGTTCACAAGGATGGATTACCACTACGACCAATAGTGAGCTCCATCAGATCACCGTTACAACCACTGGCAAGGTTCCTGGCTGAAAAGCTACAGCCTTACGCAGAAGAAGCTGATTCCTACGTTAAGAATGCAGGCCACTTCATCGAGCGTATAAAAGATGTTACTCTTGGGCCGGACACTTGTTAGTAAGTTTCGATGTTGTTTCACTTTTCACCAACGTTCCCATCAATGAATCCTTGGAAATTATAAGCAGAAAATACCCAGTACCGCAAGATTTGACGAGACACTGCTTAAACAACACATATTTTATATATGGTGATCAACGGTACAAACAAGTTGATTGGGCACCGATGGGTTCACCCCTATCTCCCGTGATAGCAAATCTTTTATGCAAGACATAGAGGAACGGGCAATAAGAACAGCAGAATATAAACCCAAACTATGGCTTAGATATGTGGACGACACTTTCATCATATGGACACATGGAGTAGACAAATTTACTGCATTTCTAGAATACATTAACAGTATCCATCCCAAGATCAAGTTTACGATGGAATTAGAAAGTAATCAACAACTACCTTTCCTAGACGTCTTAATAATAAAGAAAGAAAACGGAATATATATATATATATATATATATATATATATATATATATATTAAATATTATATAAAAATAATATATAAAAATAAATAATATAAATATATAATTAACGTGCCCTATCAAGTCCCCTTGACGTTGGCGATTAACATGGCGAAACTGTCTCTGTATCGAGCTATTCTAAATAGTTGCTCAGCTTTCTTTATTCCTGTCCACTCCCTGATATTCTTCAACCAAGAGGCCTGCTTTCTACCAATTTCTCTGCGTCCTTCGATTTTAACCATCATAATAAGTTGAAGAATATTATATCGGTCTCCCCTTACTACGTGTCCAAAATAGGCCATCTTTCTACATTTGATGTTATCAAGCAGCTCGCGAGCAGCATTTGCTCTCTCAAGGACGACCACATTTGTCAGCATAGCCGTCCATGGAATTTTTAGTATACGTCTGTGCAGCCACATTTCAAAGGCCTTCAGACGATTAATGGTGGATATTTTTAATGTCCATGCTTCGACACCGTATAAGAGGACTGACCAAATGTAGTATTTAATCATGCGCTTTCGAAGTTGAAGTTGCAAGTTATCATTACAGAAAAATGACCTAATTTTTAAAAATGTCGTGCGGGCTATCTCGATTCTACATTTTATCTCTTGATTTGGATCTAGTTGTTCAGTAATATGGCAACCAAGATATTTAAAACTGGACACTCTTTGAATTATATGACCATCAACATATAATCGTGCATCTTGATGTGCTAAACGGTTAAACACCATGTGTTTTGTTTTTGCACAGTTTATGTTTAGGCCAAACTGTCTTCCCACTGTATCAATGGCATTTAAAAGGCATTGTAATCCATTCATGTCATCACTTAAAATAACTGTATCGTCTGCATATCTGATTGTATTTATCAGAATTCCATTAACTTTCACGCCCCATTCCAAATTATGCAGCGCTTCTTTAAATATTCTATCGGAATATAAATTAAATAACAGTGGGGATAGTATACAACCCTGTCTGACACCTCTTTGTATTTTACATATTTCTGTTGATTTTCCGTTTATGCAAGCTGTTGCTGTTTGACGCCAGTATAACTTTTCTATGAATCGTATGTCTTGACTATCAACTCCTTTATCTTATAATATTGTAATTAATTAGTGATGCTGTACTCGATCAAAGACGTTTTCATAGTCAATAAATACAGCAAAGACGTCTTTCCTTTGATCTCGACATTTCTGCAGTAATACATTTAGTGCAAAGAGGGCGTCCCGAGTTCCCAGTCCATTTCTGAAGCCAAATTGTGTTTCATCCTGATCTTCTTCACATTTAACTCTGATTCTAATTCAATTCTAATTTTAATTCTTTTTACTTAATTGTACCTAATTTGATTTAATTTAATTTTAATTTATTTTATTTTGATAAAACTTTGACGTTTGTGAAAAATCTTACCTTACAATTACAGTAAAACTGTTAACTTATATTTTTAGCAATTTTATGAAAAAATTATTTACTGATGAAGTAGTTAAATTTACGAGTAAGAATATTTGTATTAACAATGTGTAGAATGAAATAGCAATAAAACAACTGTATCGTTTCAAGAACAAAATATGATTGAAATGTCACATGTTGCTAGTAATTCCTTTCGTAGATGGCGTAGTTACCTTACCGGACAAACAGTGTGAATTGATCTTCCTAGCCTTTTATATAAATCGATCATTTCTTTTTATCAGTAATTTACTATTCAAGAATGAAATTATAATTGTACAATCTTTAATTAATAGAAAAATATCTTTAATTTTAGCTGAAAGACGCAAATTCTACAGAGCGCATGATATGGGTAACGTGTAATGGTGTCGATGACTTCGATAGAGAAAACATAAAGGGATTTAATTACTATCCTAAAGGTTTCTCCAGTTCCTATTATCCTTACACGAACATCAAGAACTATTTGAGTCCTATCGTCGCCGTCGAAGTCGTCAACATAACTCGTAAGTTACGTTCGTATATTTATAGCTATTAGAAGATGTAAAAAAATCTATTAGGTGTTTGGTATATCGTGAAATCGTAAGAAGATTAGAAAGCAATCTGATTTATTTTAAAAATAAACAACAAATTGCATTTATTATTGTAATATTTTTAATACTACTGTTTAGTATGGTAAAAAACCGTTATTGTTCATTTGGTTAAAATATCTATATTAATAAAAATTAATCACCGATGTTTGTACGGGCATCACTTCAGAACGACTGCAGCAAATTAAATACTTCTTTATTGTGTTGTGTTTGTTATTATAGGGAGAAGGTTTGTTGTAAAAGATAATTTTCAAAAAATTGTACGCAAAAAAACTTTAAAAACAGTTTAATTTAAATCGCAGTAGAACTAATAGATTGCGCTATACTATGACTAACAAAGGGTAAAGATTGGGCAACAGCCATACCACACTGAATCATATATATGTTTGGACAAACTGATTATGTTAGCCATTATGTATAATGCCCGGTCATTATTAATAATGACTAACTTCAGCGGGCAATTTGATAGCTTTTTACAATTTATCATATTGTCTGGTCATTATGAAAAATGCTATACTATGGCCGGGCAATGTGATAAATCGGCGTTCTTAGTAAATCATGCGATCTTCAGCAGCGAATCAACGCGCTGTATCCAAGGTTACAGTCACCGAAGCGCGTCGGCCATTATTTATAAATCATATTGCAGTTGAATATTAGTAATGGTATATACGACAAGTGGTTTGTTTGTGACATTTCTTTGTTAATTCTTTGTTTATAAAGTATTGCATAGTGAACTATGGAAAAAGAAGAACCATTAAGTAATATGAATAATCGATTTAACAATCGGTTAACTGAATTAATTTCAGCAAAAAGTCAAAATTCACAAATTTTCACAAAAACAGCCTACATGGAAATGATACAGAAGGTAAAAAACTCTGAAAGTAAACAGATAAATAAAACGCCGAGTGATTATCAGCGCTTACGAAGATTCGACGTTATGACGATTAGAGAAGTAGAAAAATTGATTGTTCCTGTGAAAGAAGATAACGTAATTAAATACTACGTCCATACAGAAGAAATATTTGATACATTGCGCGATCTTCATATTACTATCGGGCATGGTGGTAGAAACCGAATGGAGAAGGAAGTACATTCTAAATTTACAAATATTACAAGGGAGATGATTGTTATCTATTTAAATTTATGCATGACCTGTCAGAAAAAACATAATGTTCCAAAGAAAGGCTTGGTGGTGAAACCAATATTGAGCAAGGAAATGAATTCAAGATGCCAAGTCGATTTAATCGATATGCAGTCACAAGCCGATGGCTGTTATAAATTTGTGCTTGTTTATCAAGACCATCTTACCAAATTTGTCCAACTTAGACCTGTTACAAGTAAAAGAGCAGAAGAAGTATCGCATGTACTTTTGGATATTTTCACAATATTTGGGGCGCCGAGTGTGCTTCATAGTGATAATGGCAGAGAATTCGCTAACGATATTATCAAAGAGCTGTGTAGCATGTGGCTCGAGTTAAAAATGGTACATGGCAAACACATGAATTCTCAGAGTCAAGGATCTATAGAAAGGGATAATCAAGACGTAGAGAATATGCTTAGTTCGTGGTTAGAAGACAACAATACAAACAAATGGTCTGAAGGCTTACGTTTTGTTCAACTAATGAAAAATAGAGCTCATCACACGGGTATAAGTTGTAGTCCATATGAAGCCATGTTCGGCACAAAGTTGAAAGTTGGTTTAAAAAGCTCTCTACCCCAAGAAGTTCTGACTGATGTTAATTCGGAGGAAGACTTAGCGGTCCTGTTCAAAAATCAAAAGGCTGGGCTATCTACAGAACCGGATATAATACAAAATAATAATATAAATGTGGACTCTTCAATAATGTTACCCGAATCAAGTTCCATATCATCTGGCTACACCCTGGACGTTCAAAAAATTGGAGCAATTTTAATTGATGAAAATTCATCTCGTGAATCTAGTCAAGTTCCAGAATTTTTAACAAATGCGGTAGAAACGGCTATTGTAGTTAATTTAGAAAATAATGAAAATCTGGATTCCAATATAGATATTAGAATAAACGATGTAAGGAAGAAAAGAAAATTGGCTTTGACGAATCTAGAACAACAAGCCGAGAAGATGTTAAAATTTTCCAATTCCAAATATCCATCGGCTAAACTAGGTAACACAGTTAGGATACGAGTGCCAGATGTGGACCGAGCTCGTAGTGATCAAAGAAATCTACTAGCTATCGTGACAGAGATAACTGAAAAAAGCTTTACAAACTAGGCACAAAATATGGCATACTAAATCAGTTATATTCAAGAAAGCAGTTTACCGTTTGTAAAGAAAAGTTTATCTCCATAGAAGAGATTCCAGACACTGAGATATCTCTTAGAAAATGCGCAAGAAAATCTTCTAACTGTGGGGGACAAGGATACAGTAGGTGCGGTTGTAAAGGTGGGTGTAAATCCGATAAGTGTAAGTGTCGTAAAGAAAAAAAAAATATATAACTCCAAGTGTCACCATAGTGGAACATGTTTCAACAAATAGTTATGTATTGTAAATCATTCATACAAAATAAATTTCGATGATGTAGCACGCAAAGGTGGTAAGTGCTACTTACAATTTTTATTTAAAATTAAGTTTGATTTAGAAGAAAAACGATTTAATTTCTCACTGGCCGCTTTGTGTATTACCATCGATTGCGGTCATTAGAAAAAAATGCAAATAAAAACACAGAATTCTTTTTTTGGTTTTCTCAATCACCGTTAATACGTATTATATTTTTTATGTATACTTATTCATTAAATGTACTCATGTGCCATTTCACAGAAGACTGCAAGACTGTTGTCATTAGTATATAAGAAATATTTTAGTTTTTACTACATACTAAATACGTGATTGTATCAAAATAAATATATTTCATATTTAATAAAAATAAAAGTAGTTTTTTTGTTCTTCTTACCAACTGCTTTGTTTCATTTCGTATTCTTATATAGGTGTCTCGGGATTCTGGAATACTTGATGTTTTGTACTTCGTGTAGGCCTCTCGTTTCTCTTTAAATTTCTATTTTATTTCTGTTCTGAACTATAGTGTATTTTTCTTGTTTCTTTTGTTTAACTTTGCGTTTTCCTAGAGCTTCTATTGCTGCTTCTTCAATGTTGTTTTTAATTTTCTTACAGCTCGCGTTTATATCTTCGATGTCGTCTATTTGTTCAGCTATATCTTCTGTGCAAGCCTCCTTTGGTACATTTCTCTTGTAGAATCGTTCCACAGTGATTCTACAATGAATTTTTCCTTGGTGATTTCCTGTAGAAAATGTTTTGGTGCTATTTTCATTCTTATTTTTGCTAGTACTATAGTTTTATTTTTATCACACACTATATTAGAACTGACTGGCCTACATTAAAAAGGGTTTTAAAAAATTCACATTTTTTTTAATTTTTAAAAATTACAAAAGAGAAAAAGAGTTTTTAAAACCGTCTAAGGTATGTTAAATAGATGAATAAAAATATTAATATAAAACTTACAGCTACTTGTTACAAATCCAAATCAGATTCAGAAGATGAACTTTCAGAAGCAAGATTTATAATAACTGGCTCGATCATTTTATCAGTAATATTGTCCAGCTTCCACATTTTTTCCTCTTCTTTAATAGTGTGATTTACTGCCTTTTCCCAGTTTTCAGGTTTTACATTATTTACGGCCTCCAAAAACAACTGTTTAACATCATGAATTTTAAAAGTGGTATTTTTTCTTGAAACTTCACTCTTTATCTGTGCCCATACCAGTTCAATCGGGTCTAATTCACAATGATATGGTGGGGATCTAAGTACTGTTATTCCACGATTTTTGGCAATTTCATCAATTTCGTATTTTTAAAATTTTTCTTTATGAAGGGCACACAACGAATAAAGTTCCTTTCTTATAGATCCGGGATGGTACGTAATATTTTTTGAACTCAGCCAATTCTGCAAGTCTTTTTTTAACCACTTGATTGTGGGCAGTCCTTCTATAAGTCTGGAGTGATAACTTGCATTATCCATTACTATTACACAGTTCTTAGGAAGAAGTTCTATCATTTGTTCGAACCATTCTTGAAAGACATCAGCGTTCATGTCTTCATGGTAGTCACCGGTACGAGTTGATTCAAAAGTTAATAAACTACCTTCAACAAAACCGTCTGAACTGCCAATGTGTACTATTATCAGCCTGCGTCCCTTTCCTGATGGTGGGTTTAAACCAGTAGATAAGTTATTTACAAAAGCGTGCCTTTGACTTGTAACAGTTTCATCCTGCCAAAATTTATTTGGTCTATGACCCTCGTTGATCCATGTTTCATCAAGATAAAATATTTTTCTTTTTTGGTTTCTCATTTCCTTTATGGTTCTTAGAAAATGTCTTCTCCATATGACAATATCGCTTCTTTCTAATAAAATAGACTTTCTGGGATTCTTTTCCAGCGGAAGCCTACTTTTTTTAAAAGTTTTCATAACCTACTTCGACTCATTTCTGGGTAATCCTTATCATCTCGAACTGAGACAAGAACTTTATCCAATGTTGGAAATTCTTGTCTAAAGAAGAATTCATGCACTTTCCGTCGAAGTCCTTCTTTAAAATGATATTCTATTTGAAATTTTGGTTTCCCTGGAGCATTACGTGGCATTTGAAAACTACCACATTTCTCTTCTTTAATAACTCTGTAAATCGTAGATTTCCCAACACCAAGTGTACTGTAAACTAACTCAACGGTCTCATCAACACTTTCACATAAACGTTTGTCTGTAAATGATTTAAAACAATTAAATATTAATATTTTTTCATTAACTGTTAAAGGACCAATTTTTCGGCGTTTACACGGCACTTCCAAATTTTCCATAACACTAGTATACACAATAAACTGCACCTTGCAACTGAAGTACCTACTTTTAGTGAACTGTTAAGAATTTTGAA